GTAGCAACATTACAGTTATGAAGTAGCAACGAAAATAATTTTATGGTTGGGTCACAACATGAGGAACTGTACTTAAAGGGCCAGAAGGTTGAGAACCACTGTCTAAGGCAGTGATGGCGAACCTATGACACGTGTGTCAGAGGTGACATGCGAACTCATTTTTTTGGTTGATTTTTCTTTGTTAAATGGCATTTAAATATATAAAATAAATATCAAAAATATAAGTCTTTGTTTGACTATGGTTGCAAAGATCAAAAAATTTCTATATGTGACACGGCACCAGAGTTAAGTTAGGGTTTTTCAAAATGCTGACACGCCGAGCTCAAAAGGTTCGCCATCACTGCTCTATCCACTGAGCCAAACTGGCTAGGGCTGGTTCCTTCTGTATTTGGCTCCTTGGGGTTCAAGAATCCAGAACCCCAGACCAGTGGCTACCTCTGGTGTCCCTGTAACCTCCCCCCAACACCTTCTCCAGATCATCTTCAACCCCAGCGAGCACCCCCTTCTGTACGGCCATAGACCAAACCCCACATTGAACCGGGAGCTCTTTTAGCTTCCACCAAACGAGCTCCTAACCCTAACACTCAAAACCATCCCTTCCATTTCTTATTCACCTCCTCTGAACGGACTACTCAGATCTCCAATGAGAACACAAACCCCACACTCAATTCTATCCTTAGTCCCATACTAATTTAGGTCCCATCTCCAACTCAGGCCTTGCTCTAAACGTCCACAGTGCCCTTCCTCAATCGATTGATAAATCTATCCACCCAGCTAGCCAGGCAGCCGGCCAGCAACCCAGCCGCCAAACCACTTTTCCACCCAACAGTCTATTCTATAGTGTTTTCATTCAACCAAACAACAATCCAATAATTTATTCAATTATTTAATATCCAGAACCCATCTCTTCTTCCTTCCATGCACCTCTCCCTCTGAACGTCCACAGTGCCCTTCCTCAATCGATTGATAAATCTATCCACCCAGCTAGCCAGGCAGCCGGCCAGCAACCCAGCCGCCAAACCACTTTTCCACCCAACAGTCTATTCTACAGTGTTTTCATTCAACGTCCATCCCATCAGACAGCAATCCAATAATTTATTCAGTTATTTAATATCCAAAATCCATCTCTTCTTTCTTTCATGTACCTCTCCTTCCTTCTACCCACCCTTCCTTCTTGCCTTTCTTCCTCCTGTCCTTCCATATGCAATTCCTTTTTTCAGTCCTTTCCTTCTACCCACCCTTCCTTCTTGCCTTTCTTCCTCCCGTCCTTCCATATGCAATTCCTTCTTTCATTCCTTCTACCCTTTCTTCCTTCCTTCCTTCCTTCCATCCATCCTTCCTTCCATCCTTCCTCCATCCACCCACCCATCCTTCCATTCTTCCTTCCTTCCTTCCACCCACCCATCCTGCCTTCCACCTACCATTTCCATCCTTCTATCCATCCTTTTATCCATTCTTCCATTTTTCTTCCATCCACCCTTCCTTCCTTCTTTCCTTCCACCCGCCCTTCCATCCTTCCATCCACCCTTCCTCTCTTCCCATACACCCTTCTTTTTCTTCCATCTATCCTGTCTATCCATCCTTCCTTCCACATTTTCTTCTACTCGTCCATTACCCATCCTTCCTGCCTTCTTTCCATCCATCCTTTCATCCATCCATCCTCTACCCTTCCCTTCCTTCCTTCCTTCCTTCCTTCCTTCCTTCTTCCCACTCACCCATCCATCCTTCCTTCCATCTACCCTTCCATCCTTCTATCCATTCTTTCATCTTTCTTCTTTCCATCTATCTTTCCACCCTTCCTTTCTTCCCATCCACCCTTTCTTCTTTTCTTCCTTCCATCCATCCATCTATTCATGCTTCCATCCACATTTTCTTCTTCCCTTTTTCTACTCATTCATTACCCATCCTTCCTGCCTCCCTTCTTTTCATCCATCCTTCCATCCATCCATTCATCCATCCATCTTCTACCCTGCCTTCCTTTCCTACTCCTTCTTTCAATCCTTCATTCCTTCCATCCATTCATCCATTATCCATCCTTCTTTCCTATCACCCTTCCTTCCTCCCTTCCTTCCTTCCTTCCTTCCTTCCTTCCTTCCATCAATCCATCCATCCATCCATCCATTTATCCATCCTTCTTTCCTATCACCCATCCTTTCTTTTTTTCCTTCCCTCCTTCCTTTCTTCTGTTTATTCCCAACCCTATCTCAAATCTAAAGCCAATTCCCAAAAAGATGGTCCCACCTTAATCATCATGCTCAAGACCCCCTAGAATCTCATGGATTCGATCTTTCTAGAGGAAACCTCACTACAGCCCGTCTCGGACTCAATCTATATGCATATCCTCTGCCTCACGCTCCAACCCCATCCATGCTCTTCTCCACACCCATTACCAACTATAAACAGCTCTAACTCAGCCCACCCACTCCACGCAAAGAAATTTCAATCGTTGTACTGTTGATATTTGGCTGTCGACTAATGAGTTTGCCAACCACTGGGCTAGAGGAAACCTCGCTACAGCCCATCTCAGACTCAATCTATATGCATATCCTCTGCCTCACGCTCCAACCCCATCCATGCTCTTCTCCAACCCATTACCCATTACAACTCTAACTCAGCCCACCCACTCCACGCCTGCCCACACTCCCGATCTCAGTGCTCACTGGAATCCCAGCTCTGTCTCCATCCCCACCGCCGTCATCAGACCTAATCCGCCCTCCGTCCCAACCCCACCTCCCTGCCCCTCCAAGCTTGTGTTTGGATGAATGAGGGTTGGGGTCCGCCATGAAATTGCATTGAGAATTAGGAATCAGGAGGTCGTTTGGGGGCTTTGAGGGGAGCTAAGATGGGGACTGATTTGGGACTCGGGGTTGGAGATAGCAGTGGGCTTTGGGACAAAGTGGCGCCTGAGATGAGCAGTCCCAGCCTCTGTCCCCTGCCTGCCTCACCCGTTCCTGCAGCAGCCCGCTGAGGTCCCCGTAGGGCGCGTACTCCTGGGTGAAGGCGAAGTGCCGGGGGGTCTGCAGGGGTCCCGCCAGGGTCTGGAGCAAGCCCGGGTGGGACGAGACGCAGCGGCCCACGCAGAACTCCCTCAGGAAGGTGGTTCTCGGGACCGAGTCCCGACGCAGGAGCTTCAGAGCCACCGCCGGACCTGTCAGGAGAAGGGGGCAGAAGGGGACTCAGGGCGCGCCCACCCGGCTGTGTGGTCTCAGGCAGGTTCCTTACCCTCTCGGGGTGGACTCTGTTCCTCAGAAGATCACGGAGCTCTTAACTCCCCGAGAGCCCCGGTCGAGAAGGGTCCCCACCTGCTCTCCCCGGATGTCCCCTGTCTCGGGGGCTTCTGAGAACCCTCCTATGGGGAGTCCCCGAGGCTGCCTTCCGGTGGCCGAACTCACCCCCTTGGCGAGGCCGGGCGAGGAGCACTTTGCCGTAGGAGCCCGAGCCCAGCTTTCGGATGAGGCGATACTGGGCCCGCAGATTCCTCACTGGGGTCACCCTGGTGGCTGTCAGCTCCACGAGCCGCTGGAGGGCCGTGGCTGTGTCCTCCTGCAGGAGAGGGGCACAGTGGGGGGGGTGAGCCTGGGACCCACTGAGGGGGGGAGAGGAGGCTGGCGGCCAGCCCCAGGGCTGATGTGGGGGGTCAGGGGGTGGGGTCACTGGCCCCAGAAAGGAGGATGAGTCAGGGTGACTCACCAGGCCTCGGGCCACCTGTTTTTGTGTCCTGGCAAGGTTAAGGGTGATTGTCTCAGAGACCCCACCCACGGCCGTCTGTGGGAGCCCCAAGAAGCCCCCAGCTTCGACTGGGGCTACGTCTTCACCCTCACAACACGCCCCCCCCTTCCACTCCACCCATCTCTCTCTCTCTCTCCATCCTCCTCTCTCTCCATCCTCTTCTCTCCCTGTGCTCCCCATTCTTGGCTCCTGAGCCCCTTTCTCTGGGGCCTTGCACAGAGCTCTGTGCATTCGGGTTCCTCTGTGCCTGGGAGTGCTGACGCGGGAGCCAGGGAGAGCATTCCCAAGGCCCAGCTTCCAGCCTCCTCCCTCAGACCCAGGAGTCCAGGCACCCAGTCCCTCCTCCCTCAGACTGGTCTTGCTGTGTGTCCTTGGGTTTGTATTATTCTGAGTCTCTGATGTTTCTGTGTTTCGCAGGCTCTTCTGTTTCCTTCTCTGTCCCTCCGCGCCTGCCCCCTGCCCCATGCCTCTGCTCTCTCTGACTCTGTTTCTCTCTGCATCTACCTCTTGGTCTGTCTCTCTCTCTCTTTCTCTTCTTCCCTTGTTTCCATTTCTCACCTCTGGGTCCCCATCCTCCTGGTTCTCGGGGTCCCTGAGCTCCATCTTGGGGTTGCCTGGTGTCATCAGGCCCTTGGGCTGCCCCTTGTCTAGGTTCCTCGAAAGGCGACCGGACCCCTCAAGCCCACTGCGTGGTCCGGGAGCTCGTCCGAAAGGCTCCGGCCCCGTCTCCCCCTGCGTCTGAGCCCACAGGTTTCTCCGACGCTCGCTCTCCACCTCGCCCCTCTCCTCTCTTTTAGCCTCCGGGTGTTTGTGGGTCCTGCTCTGTTGACGTCTTTCGCTCCTTCTCACCTCTTCTTCCCCTCCCTCACCTCCACACCACCCTCCTGTCTCTGTCCGGCCCTGGTCCCAGGTCTCGGGTCTCTGGGGTAGGACTCCCTGTCCTGTCTCTGCTGGTCCCTGGCCCCTCTCTCTCGTCCCAGCGCTGTCTCCACTGCTGTCGCCACCGTCTGCGACAGGACGGCCCCCACTCTGCTCGGCCCTCCCTCCCTCTGTTTCTCTGGTTTCCCCTCCCGCAGGCTTCCCCGGCCGCCTCTCCTGGGAGTCTCCGTCTCCCTCCTCCTGTCTTTGTTCCTGACTCTCTCTCTCTCTCTCTCTCTCTCTGAGTCCTTTGTCCCTCCCTTTTCCTGGGCCCGGGACAGGGGTGTGTGTGACAGCCCGGAGACATCCCGTCCCCCCCACACCCCTCCCTCACCCCCTCTGACCTGCGGCCCCCCTCCCTCCCCCTTCCAAACTTAGACCAGCCTGGAGTCTGGGCTCTAGTCCCAGGACAGAGGGGACAAAACACATTGTGAACCCCTGGAGGCCAGGCCTGAAGGCTGAGGGAACAGGGGGGACAAACCCCTCCACAGGCCTAACCCGGGCGCATAGCACAGAGCTCTGTGCATTCGGGTTCCTCTGTGCCTGGCAGTGCTGGCTCGGGAGCCAGGGAGAGCATTCCCAAGGGCCAGCTTCCAGCCTCCTCCCTTAGACCCAGGGGTCCAGGCCCCAGCCCCTCCTCCCTCAGACCCAGG